CAGGGGCAGGAGAAACAGGTAATCTGTGACCCATTTTTTTCATTTTGCAAAATCACCATGCCATGCAAAATGCAACGTGCAGGAGAGGATCGCCGGCTTCACCCCACACAAGTGTGCCTTTATGAACCTTCTGTTACCGACATTTGACTGCTTTTCATTGAATAGCATGAAAAACACAAAATTGACAATTATTGTAAGGGGGGGGGGGGCATTTTCAATCAGAGTAGGAAGGCGCTGCCTCCTCCTCCCCCCCCCCCCCCCCCACACACACACAACACACACACACACTCCCTTTGGCTAGGACCATGATACCCATCTGTAAGTTGCACGGTTGATGCAGAAGTCTGGACATGGGAGGTCCGGATAAGAATACCCCCAATGTTTTAATGATAGCTTGCATAGACCCTGGTCCTACCGGTAGGACCTACCGGTAGGACCATCATACACTGACATGCCACACTGGCTATATACCAGTGTCTTCCGTAAAATTGAAACCACACACTACATAGAGCCATTGGGTGAAATTCTGAAAATTTGGACGCGGTTGGACGAGTACTACTGCAGGCTACCATGGCAACGCCCATGGAAGCGGCAGAACAAAAGAAGATTATGTTGAACATTAAACGAGAGAGCTTGGAAGCTCAGGGCCCTACGCTATGCTTTTTTGCCTTGATGACCTAGACAAAAAAAAAGCATAGGGATGTTATAAATTCTTTAAAAAATTCCTTTTTTTAAGACATAACCTGGGATTCGAACCCGCACTATCGCGCGCCCTGCATGCATCCCCCGATACACTTCGCATACATACTAATTCTTCCAAGTTGTTTCACATTGTGATCTTGCATTTGAAAGCCCTATTTGAATATGCATTGTGGCCAGCCGTCTTTGATGGCACGGTACGGTAGGGGATAGGTACGGGACAGGTACGATCGAGGGTAATACGACACCGTCTCCCGTACCGTACCGTACCGTCAAACACAGCTGGCCACATACAGCTGCCCGCAATATTCAAATAGGGCTTTCAAACGCAAGATAATAACGTGAAGCAACTTGGAAGAATGGGTATGAATGCGAAGTGTATGGGGGAATGCATGTAGGGCGATAGTGCGGGTTCGAATCCCAGGATATGCCTGAAAAAAAAAATACATGTAGGAGAATTGAAAAATTTATAACATCCTATGCTTTTTTGCCGTCAGATACGGATAGCGCCAGGCGTGACACAAACAAACAAACACACAAACAAATACCAAATTAAAGCTGTGTGGACCCTGGCTAGCGCCAGACGTTACTGAAGTAACGTCTTCTGCATAGCTACGGGACTGATGTAAGATGAGCATAGCAGGCTGACTGATGTAAGCAATGCATTATAACGACCGTGTCAAATGTTGAATTGCCGGGTACCATGGCAACGCCCTTGGCAACAGTAGAAAAAAGGAGTTATAATGAAAAATAAACGAGAGAGCTTGGAAGCTCAGGGCCCTACGCTATGCCTTTTTGCCTTGATGACCTAGACAAAAAAAGCATAGCGATGTTATAAATTCTTTAAAAATTTCCTTTTTTTTAAGACATAACCTGGGATTCGAACCCGCACTATCGCGCGCCCTGCATGCATCCCCCGATACACTTCGCATACATACTAATTCTTCCAAGTAACTTAGTTGTTTCACATTGTGATCTTGCATTTGAAAGCCCTATTTGAATATGCATTGTGGCCAGCCGTCTTTGATGGCACGGTACGGTAGGGGATAGGTACGGGACAGGTACGATCGAGGGTAATACGACACCGTCTCCCGTACCGTACCGTACCATCAAACACAGCTGGCCACATACAGCTGCCCGCAATATTCAAATAGGGCTTTCAAACGCAAGATAATAACGTGAAGCAACTTGGAAGAATGGGTATGAATGCGAAGTGTATGGGGGAATGCATGTAGGGCGATAGTGCGGGTTCGAATCCCAGGATATGCCTGAAAAAAAAATACATGTAGGAGAATTGAAAAATTTATAACATCCTATGCTTTTTTGCCGTCAGATACGGATAGCGCCAGGCGTGACGCAAACAAACACACCAACACCAAATTAAAGCTGTGTGGACCCTGGCTAGCGCCAGACGTTACTGAAGTAACGTCTTCTGCATAGCTACGGGAATAATATAGATGCAAGCATGAGCATAGCAGGCTAAGCACACGGTCACTCAGTGTGGCAGGCCATGGACGATGTGGTATTGAAAGCACGTACGTCCCGTGGCAACAGTAGAACGCCCTTGGCAACAGTAGAAAAAAGGAGTTATAATGAAAAATAAATAATATAGATGCAAGCATGAGCATAGCAGGCTGAACACACGTTCACTCAGTGTGGCAGGCCATGTACGATGTGGTATTGAAAGCACGTGCGTCCCATGGCCGGAGAGCACATCACAGCATTCAGCCCACACGTGGAGCAGTAGTAGCTCGCCTTCCTGCCCGAGTCGCGGACATGCCTGCACGCAACACATTTACGCTGTGTGTGTGGCTTGCCGCTGACCTCGGACAGGGATACCAACCGATGCTCGGTGCCGTCAGGCTGATCTGCTTCAGGTCCGCAGCACCTGTTTGACTTTGCGGCTGCTGCGGGGCGTTGTAGCGGATCAGTTGCTCCGCAAGACGAGTGGTGAATGCCGAGTGGGTGATCTTGTCGAGGCCACAGCAGAAATGGGAAAATGCAAGGTAAGCATTTGTCTCCATGATGCCAAACACTGAGGCATACACACGATGGTGCCAGGTGTCCGTGGGCCACACTTGCTCCAGAGCCAAGCCATCCTGCCGAAGGTGGTTGTGGACATCAATGGAAGGCGCGCCATCGTGGTACATTGCCACCAACTTCGGTTGATCAACTGTCTTGAAGTACAGTTTCAAGTTGTCATCATACCGCTTTTTCTTGGCAGGATCTCCGGCAAGAGTCGTCCCTCACGTGCTGACAAACGAATGCACCTTCTTGTCTCGCACCATGCCACGGCATTCAGTGCTATGCCGTCCCTCTGTGCGGTTGCAGACACGAAGCGGCCTTTCGGAGAAGGACACATCGCGGACAGGAGCTTCAACGGGAAGGCTGGGTACGCCGTCTTGACAACACCCGCAAAGAAGAGCCCAAGCTTCATAAGAGCGACTGCTGTCTTGACGGATGCAAACCAGGAATCGCCGCACACGATTCTTCCCGAGCCATGCCAGGTATCCGTCAGTCGCAAAGTTGTGGCAGTTCCAGCACCGAACTCTTTCTGCCACTTCTTGGTAGCCATGGTGTCTTTGCCCTCGTTGATTTACCATCGCAAGCATGATGTTGGTGGACGCATCAGCAACGGACTTAATTTCGCAGCCCACACCTTTTGGCTTCCGCTTGATTTTGATGACTGTGGGCGTCCCACCAATGTCTCCACCACGACCGTACCAAGCAAACATTGACTCGTCCACTGTCAATTTGTGGCCTGGCCGGATCGAAGTCTGCCACTTCAAATTGCACATGTCGATGAGGGGGCTCACAATTTTCCAGCCGCGCCTGGTGTCTCCGCTGACTGGTGGACGAAAGTGCATGGCAGCAAGAATTTCCTCAAAGCGATTTGCTCCCATGCCGTATCGACGTACGAAGGCTGGTGCTGGAAGGAGACCCTCGGTCATACTCCAGTGGTCACGCCGTTGGCAACGTACTGGACACAGCGTCATCAGGTAGAGGAGACCTATCACCTTGTAAAACTAATCGCGGGTTACAGCTTTCCGCTTGTCACGCAGGTGAGCATTTGTGCACTTCACTATCTCATCCATTTCCTCGTGCGGAAAGAACAGCATCCAGGCGTCCAATTCATTCATTGTGTGCAAATTGTCAGCATTTATTTTCGCTTTGTACGGAATATCCTTGTACTGATCGATCACTATGTCACTCAATGTCCAGTCCAAACCATGTGCCTGAAGAACAGTGGGAGTGTCTTCAAGACTCGATCCTTCACTACTGCTACATTCTGATGAATCCGAATCACTATCGTCGTCACTGCAACAGCTACTTGAGCTGCTGTCGTCGCCGTCGAGTGCAGCTAGTGCAGGTTGTCGCCGCGTCGATACGGGGTCTTGGGAAGTCAGATTTACTGACAACGGTGAAGTATTATCGTCGTCGTCAAACAAGCATTGGTCAGGCTCTGGAGTTGGAGAGCGGCGGCGTTTTCTCGATGGAACATTGGACGACAGAGCAGAACGTGCAGCACGCATAGATCCAGAACTTGCACTACGACTATTTGCACAGGTACGACTATTACTAGGCCGATCGGTTGAAGTATCGTCGTCGCCGTCAATCGAATGTATCTCCGCAGGCTCCGGAGTTGGAGAGCGGCGGCGTTTTCTCGATGGAACATTGGATGACAGAGCAGAACGTGCAGCATGCACAGATCCAGAACTTGCACTACGACTATTTGCACAGGTACGACTATTACTAGGCTGATCGGCTACATCGCTGTCGCTGTCCTCGAAACGCTTGGGACGAACAATTCTACGCTTACCTCTTGCTCTGTCGTCGCAAGGGTCGGACTCTGCAGCTGCACGAACATCAGCAACGGCTACAATCGATGTAGTACTGTCCAAATCCCACTTTATTCTGCATCGTTCTCGATCAAAAGTCACACTCAAAACAGTGCCCAAATACTCCGCACTTCTCCAGCTGTCTCCATATGCGGAGAATGACCATCGATCCTCATCGCGTGCGTAAAAACCATGATCAAAAGTCGTCGCTGGCACCGTTACTCGCGTTCCGACCTGAATCAATGTAGGCATTTTGACAATGAAAATTTGCGCATGCGCAGTGCGCAGAACATGTGCTCGCGTCTTGCGCCACTGCTAAGGAGTCCAAAGATTACAATAACCCAGTTCAAAAAAATCAGTTCTCAAGCGTTCACATTTTCTCAGCGTGATTTCCAGCGTCCTACCGGTAGTACGCTATGCAAGCTATCATTAAACACAGAATAAACAAATTCTTTCACTCACCATTGCACTGCAGTAGGTTCTCCCATTTGCCGTGCGTAGCATTGTGGACTCTGCATTTCATTGCCCAAATATTATGTGGAAGGTAACCGTAGTCACAGGTAACGAATCCAACCCGCTTAAGGGGGTCAGAAGGGAAGGACACATGTAACTTTCCATGGCTTATTGTGGTACTACTTGAGCAATAATCAGAGATAGCTGTCAGGCATCAGTAAAGGATTGACAACCGTCAAGACACCGGAAAAGAAGAATGAAATCAAGAAAACGAAACACAGAGTCATAAACACCCCAATCAGACTACTCAATCATGTGTTTGCGGATTGTGAGCTATATTTCGTTTTTAGATTACTGTTTAAGGGGAAACAAAGAAAACAGGGGGGCACAAGTTATGTATTAGAATTCAACAACTAACCGGGTTTTGAACAGTCAGACGTGCACAGGGTAGTAGCACCAGACAGACAAGGAGTATGGAGACATTCTACGGCAAGAATGTCATTGTCAGTCTGGTGCTCATTACCATACACAATACATCCAAGAAGTCAGCAAAAATACACCCGGATGCATGGTTTCACGCGTACACGCGCCAGTCACGAACACAGCTTTTAATCACTCATTCCGAGCAATTACTGATCTGACACACCCGTCGAGCCAGGATTTCAAAGCTTGTCCGCGCAGTACGAATGCGACACCCTCACCTCGCCAACACGACTGCCCGTCCACTCTATATTTCTCGCATCCAAACCAGTGAGTCGTGAGCCACTCGGGGAACGGTCTGTCGAAGTATACTTCAGGCGAATTGCCATCACGCGTTCCGAGCAATTATTGATCTGACATCCCCAGCCGCGCCAGGATTTCAAAGCTCCTCAGCGCATCCATCGACGATGTGGCTGTCATGGGGTTTCTTTCACTGTCATTCGGGTAAAAGTCAGTCGGGCTGAGAATTGTTCTCAAGGAAAAGTTCGCAAAAATCATTGCCAGTAAAAAATATCAGAAAGCTGATTGAAACTGGAAAGCAGCCGACTCGAGTAGACGGGTTGTGAACGCGAGAAGCTAATCCTAAATCACGTGGTGTTTCACGTGCGTTATAATGAACTCGTTCCCGTTGACGTTTCACGGCTTGCTAATGGTCCCTCTAATGGTACTCATTTCTGCCGCCACTCTACAGAATGTTGTGGTCCGAATTGCGCAAACACCTGCACACGATCTCCATCTTTTCAGCTGGGTATTCTTGCCAAAATTCCAAAATTGCTGCCAGCAATTTCTGGCGATTTTCCTTAGGCACCAGAGATACATCTGTCCGGAGGCTATTGAAAAACGCCAGGTTGTTGACATTAACATCTGGAATCTGTGCTGGCTGAGTGACCACAGAGAGAGAGAGAGAGAGAGAGAACTCCTTTGTCTTACTTTGACTCGCGAAAGCACAACGATTCTCCTTTGTGGTACGGAGGATTCTAATAACCTCTACGTGAAGCTCTCAGCAAGACAACCACAGCCCTATCCAGTTCACAATTGATAGAGCCGTAGGAGTAACGCCGCAGCGCGATGGGAGTGTTACAATACCTGACCTGTGAGAACATTATTCTCAGCCATTTGAACAATTTCGATCGCAGAACGGTCAATATTTTAGCAGGAGAGAGCTGAGAAATGCAACTTCAAGATGACGCGTGCCATGTGTACATGTGTGGGCAGCGAGTCAGGGAAAACCCTTGCTTGTGTTTCAAATTCACGCCGGCACGAGATGACATGCGCTAATAATTTTCTTTCGAGTGTCATACCTTTTTGACTCTGGTCCAGGATATCGGATCTTCCTCAGGTTTTTCAAACCGACAACTGATATTTTCTTGATACGAATAGACATGCCTATCTTTGAATTCGGACAAAAGTTTTGAGCGATTGGTGAAATTTTGTAGTCACCTTGGTATGCACTGTGCGCCCAGGCAGATATATGCACCCAATAGGCATAATATACACAGAGGAAGCAAAATCTGTCACTCACGATCGCATGTAACTCCACCAGCGCGTGTATTATTCCACCTGCCAAATGTTTGATTGTATGCAACACACGTCACTGGGTTCTTATTCCGTGGAAGATAACCTCGGTTACAGGTAACAGTGGCAACAGAATGAATGCTGTTACCCGACGTGGTTACATGTCCATTGTGTACTGCGATCGTACTATCGCAATAGGTAGTGGCAGCTGTCAAGTGTTGGTCAAGGAATGACATCCGTCAAGATACCGAAAAATGCGTGGAATCATGAAAAGCAAGACACAGAGACATAAGCATCCCAATTAGACTTCATATCTATCATTCTGGGTGCGCCAAGTTTCAGAGACAACTATGACACCATAAAGTGGCCTTGTTGATGATACTGTGGCCAACAAGGCTCGTCAACACAAGTGTTGTGTATGCAAGTTAGTCATTATATATCTACTACACCGTTTGTTACTGTATTGCGCATGCTCGCATATGGTTGTTGTTGTTACTTTACCTGACCAAGAGGAGAATGTCTTACAAATGCTAGTGTTTGTGTGTGTCAGTAAGAATGCATGAGTGTAATGGAATGTTAGTCCGCAAGGGGACATAACAATTTGGCGACGAAGATAAAAGACGAAGATGTCGCGATCGAAGCTTGAAATATTTGAAAAAGGTGATTTTCGTGAGTATGTAGAGAGACTCACGTTTTATTTTATCGCCAACAGTATTGGACAAGTCGCAGCTGGGGCAACCGCGGACCAGGAGAGAGCGGCGGACACGCAAAAGGCAGCTGTCCTGATCAGTCAACTCTCTGCTGAGAACTACTCGATTCTGAAGAGTCTTTGCCTGCCGGACAAACCAGCGCAGAAAACGTTTGAGGAACTCGGAGAATTGCTTTCAGAGCACTTCAAGCCTAATGTCAGTGTGTTGGCGGCGACTCATAGATTCCAGAGGATTTGTCAAAAGGATGGAGAGTCAGCAACACAGTATGCAGCTAGACTAAAGCAAGCAGCCATGGACTGTAAGTTTCAGGCGTATTTGGACAGGGCACTCCGAGACCAGTTTGTCAGTGGGTTGAAGTCGATGAGTGTTACGAAGGAGATATTGTCGAAAGCAAAGGAGACCTCAAGTTTGGCGGACATTGTGACGATGGCATCAGCCTATGAAACTGCATCGAGAGAGTCGGAACAATTGACGGCGCAGTCCGTCCACGCCGTTCGTTCGCGCCAGTCGACGAGCAAGCCAACTCCAACTTTCAAGTCGCACGACAAGAAATGTTTTCGGTGTGACAAGGCTGGTCACAAACCGGAAGAGTGCCGCTTCAAGAGTGTGAAGTGTCACGCGTGTGGTACGGTGGGTCACATCGAGAGAGCTTGCCGCAAGAAGAAGTCTGGACAAACTGTCCATCACATCGCGGAAGAAATTGGTGAGTTCGTTCCATGTGCTAGTAAACCCGATGTCACCATGTATAGTGTAAATGCAATGGGGCGACTACCGTACACTGTATCATTAGATGTAATGGGTACCACTATCCAAATGGAGATTGATACAGGAAGTGCTGTCACGATTCTCAGCAGCGCAGATTTCTTGCAATGCAATGGTGTGCTGAGTAACCTGATGGAATCCAGTATCAACCTTGTGTCCTACTCTGGAGATGTGATTAATTGTCTCGGGGAAGCGGAAATGGAGTTCCGAATGGGCACACAATTGCACACACTATTGGTGAGGGTTACAAATGGAAACCGTCCATCTATTCTGGGCAGAGATGCAATGGCTTTGTTCAAACTCCCCTGGAAATCAATTTTCGAAGTGCACCAGGTCGAAAAGTCTGGCGCTAAATTCATTGAGAAATACCCAGGGTTGTTCGACACCTCAGAAGTGGGAAAGGTGAAAGGCGTGCAGGTGAAATTGCATGTGTCTGATGAGAGCCCTGTTTACCGAAAGGCAAGGCCGGTACCACTGTCAATTCGGGAGAGCTATGTTGAGGCTCTGAATAAATTGGAAGCAGATGGTATAATCGAGAAAGTCACGCATTCAGAATGGGCCTCCCCCACTGTCACGGTAGAGAAATCAGGAGGTGGGTTGAGAATCTGTGGTGACTACAGTGGCACTATCAATCTGCATTCTAAATGCGAGCAATACCCGCTACCCACTCTTGAGGAGCTATTGCACAAATTGGGCCCGGGGTCTAAATTCACGAAGCTGGATTTGTCGCAAGCCTACCACCAGCTAGAGATAGCACCTGAATGTCGGAAGTACACCACGATCAATACCATGCAGGGGTTGTATCAGTACAAACGACTCCCTTTTGGTTTTCACAGCGCCGTATCTATTTTCCAACGGGTAATGGAAGAAACCCTTAGCGATTTGCCAGGATGCGGGGGCTACATCGACGATGTGTTGTGTACTGGTCGTGATGAGGAGATCCATGAGAAAAATGTGGATCAAGTGCTATCTTGCCTAAATGAGAAAGGATTCAAGCTCAATCCTAAGAAGTTCAGCTACATGGCGGATAAGCTAACGTACCTCGGTCATCAGGTAACCGCGCAGGGAATCGCACCCTCGCCTGATCGAGTGAATGCCTTGAAAGTCGCAAAGCCGCCTAACAACGTGAATGAATTGTACTCTTTTCTGGGTGCGGCCAATTTTCAACGGAAATTTGTACCTCGGTTCGCAGAGATTGCTGCACCACTGTACAACCTGCTCAGGAAAGAAATGAAATGGCAATGGAGCAAGGCAGAGGAAGATGCATTCCAGGCCTTGAAAGATGCAATGTGTGAGCATACGCTATTAGCACACTACGATGTCAAGAAGCCAGTCACACTCCAGGTGGACGCTTCTCCAATGGGTCTAGGTGCCGTACTATTGCAAAGGCAAACGAATGGTGATGTTTTGCCGGTTGCTTACGTGTCAAGGAAATTGACACCGGCTGAATCGCGTTATGCACAAATCGAACGGGAAGCCGTAGCTGTGGTTTTCGGTGTTACGAAGTTCCAGAAATACTTGCTAGGGCGCCACTTCACACTTCAAACCGACCATCAACCACTATTGAAGTTACTGGGAAACAACGAACCAGTTCCTACACTTGCATCAGCTCGCATCAAGAAATGGGCACTAATGCTAGCTGGCTATGATTATGAGATCAAGTATTTGCCAGGCAAGGAAAATGTCTACGCGGATTTCCTGTCTAGGCAACCATGTGAGAATATCAGTCCGTCTGCAGAGGAAATGGTTACGGTTCGTGTCTTGCTAGTGGAGGAAGATACGATAATCAAAGCAGACGTAGTGAAATCGGAAACAGCTCGTGACCCTGAGCTATCTAAGGTGCTCGACTATGTGGTGAATGGTTGGCCTAGCTCAGTACCCCAATCGTTTCGGTCTTACCACAATAAGAGGGATGAGCTGTCTGCGGAAGATGGTATCCTATTGTGGGGACAACGAGTTGTCATACCCAAATCACTAAGAATGGTATTGCTACGTGATTTGCACACGGAGCACTTTGGCATGGTCAAAACCAAGCAAATGGCACGACGGTACTTATGGTGGCCAAATGTGGATCAAGAGATTGAAATGTTGGTCAAGGCATGTGCTCAATGCCAAGAAAGTGCGAAATGTCCACCTGCCAAGTCGGGAACCTGGTCATGGCCAAACGGTCCTTGGAAACGGGTGCATATCGACTTTGCAGGACCATTCATGGGCAAGATGTTCCTGGTTGTGGTGGATGCATACACAAAGTATCTGGATGTAATTGCAATGTCTAATGCCACGTCTGCAACCACTATTGCGGCTCTGCGGCACGTGTTCTCTGTGTTTGGTCTGCCGGAGCATCTTGTTTCAGATAATGGAACCCAATTCACGAGCGAGGAATTCAAGGCTTTCCTCCGTGCCAACGACATTGTGCACACCCTGACGGCTCCAGGCCATCCGGCTACGAATGGACTTGCTGAGCGCTATGTGGGTGTGTTGAAGCAGAAGTTGAAGGAAATGGGTGCAACGAGCGAACCACTGCAAGCTCGGCTCGACAGGTTTCTGCTAACGTACCGCACGACACCCAACCATGCCGGCAGAACACCTGCGGAGATGATGTTTGGACGCCAGCCACGCACGCGGCTCAGTGCTCTGCGTCCCTCGCAGGTACGTCAACAAGCAAAGGCTTATGAGGACGGCAATCGCGTCAAGCCAGCGTTCACAGAGATCGACTCTGTGTTTGCGCTCAATTTCGGCAAAGGTAATCGTTGGGTCCCGGGACGAATTGTGCGTGTCCTCAGTGACTACAACTATGAAGTACAAGTGGGTGATGTGTTGTGGAAGCGTCACCGAGACCAGTTGCGTCTACGGTCAGTTCCGGCAAGCTTGAGTGCATCGCTGCCAGAACCACTGTTGGATACAATCGATCAGACGTCACCGTCACCAGTGCTGTCAGACGTAGGAGAGTCGTCACTGTCCAGTGATTTTCCGGCTAGCGTCTCGCCACAGTCTGCTACTGTACAAGTTGAGGCGGATCCTCCTTGTGAGCAGTCTGCTCCTGAAGTTGGTTTACCACAGGTCGAGAATACTCCCTGTGAAACCACTGTTAGACGTTCGTCTCGGCGTAGTGTTCGTCCGGATAGACTGATTGAACAGCTTTGAGCCGTTCCCTGATATGTCATTGCTGGACTGTTTAGCGAACTAGTAATTATTACCATGTACAATAGTGTGCAAGATCCTTGGTATTGCTAATATTGACTGACGGATTCCTGCGTCAGATTATGTTATTGTAGTGCTGTGTCAAAGTTTAAGAATTCACGTACGGTGGATTGATGAACTTATTTTATGTGTTGCTTCAACGATTTTGAGGTATTTAATTGTGGTAGAATATTCCCTGGAACATTCTTGAAAGGGGGCAGTTGTTGTGTATGCAAGTTAGTCATTATATATCTACTACACCGTTTGTTACTGTATTGCGCATGCTCGCATATGGTTGTTGTTGTTACTTTACCTGACCAAGAGGAGAATGTCTTACAAATGCTAGTGTTTGTGTGTGTCAGTAAGAATGCATGAGTGTAATGGAATGTTAGTCCGCAAGGGGACATAACAACAAGGTTCTTGTCAAAGGGTAGGAGACATCGTTTAGGAAACTCTCCTCAAACATCGATTGATGGAAGGACCAAGAGATCAAAGAGAAACAACATGAAAGCCAGAATAAGAGAAACAGAAAAGGAACAAGATGGAAAGGATATAG